TTTAGGAAAAGAAAAACTTGTATAAATATTTTAGTACTAAATTTATTGAGACATGATGAGATTAATACTGGTTACCTGTGGAGGCCAGTAGCTTCCAGATATTTATTAGTATGGCGAACTGCTGCTTGGGTGACCTTGGTCACTGAGATTGCTGCATATCCATTTTCAATTTCTTCTGTAATGGCCGACAGTGTAGTGGGTTTTCTGTGACACATGACATCCTCTAGGATGTCATATGAAGGTAACACCATCTGTTGAAAAAACATCATACTATTTTTCTTTTCCTGAAGTGTGTATACATATTTTTGGCAGACTCTGTATTTCATAAAACCACAAATTCCTGATTTTTTTTGGGTTCAGTGTTAAAAATTGGGATTCCAGTCTCACTTCATATCTTAAAAATACCTAAAAATTGAGTAGTAAAATTGTTGAAAGTAAAGGCCCTCTAAATAGTATAGATTTTTTTTTTTTTTGGTACTGGGGATCGAACTTGGGTCCTTGCGCTTGCGCAGCAGGCAGTGAATAGTGTAGATATTTTTATGTGTGTATAATTAGGTGTGTCATATAAAAATTGTGCTATATATGATTCCCTTTGAAGACTTTTTCTTCATGGGCTGGAATGGTTAGGTTTTTTTCCATATTGAAGTACAATATAATTTTTACTGAAAGTGGCTTCTTTATAAACTGCCCAATGCTACCAAATAAGCATTCTTCTTTACTTGAAAGAACTTTACACTGAGTTCAAATAAATTGTATGAAGTTTTGAAAATGCCATTACTGATTTCATGTGAGAGAATGATTTGAATATCCTGGTGAGGCATATCTCTTTAACAGCCATTTCTTATTTTCTTTCTTTTAAAAAATTTGACACAGGGTCTTGCTACCCAGTTTAGGCTGACCTTGAACTCACTGTGTAAACAAGGCTGGCCTCTAACTCATTGTGATTCTCCTGGCTCAGCCTAAGTGCTCAGGTTACAGGTACATGGTACCACACTTGGCTGCTTTTTTTCATCCATCTATCTGTCTGTCTGTCTGTCTGTCTGTCTGTCTATCTATCTATCTATTTATTTAATGTTTTGGTACCGGGGATCAAACTCAGGTCCTTGTACTTGTGAGGCAGGTGTGGTGCCGCTGAGCTAAATCCCTGGCCCTCTTCTTTTAAATAATAACTTCTCTACTCTCTGTCTCTAGTCTCCTCCTTCTCTTTCAATTTTCCTTTGTTGTCCTTGTAGTTTGTACCGTTATTGCTTTACTGCCACTATAAGGGACATTTGTGAGAAGCAGAGATTGCACAATATGCTAATTAAGTCAGAAGTTAATAATTTTACATGCTGGTATTGAACCCAGGGATTTGAGCTATACCACCAGACTAAGTTGCCTAGGCTCTACCTGAACTTATGATCCTCCTGCTTCAGCCTTCTGAGTAGCTGGAATTCCAGGCACAGATTACTGCAGCTGGCTGAGAATTCACTTTCTTAATCTGTGTTTCACTTAAGAAAAATCTCATGCAAGACAAAGACTGAATTGGATACTTAACAAAAGTTATGAGTTGAACTGGGCTTGGTGACTCATATCTGTACTCCCAGCATCCTGGGAGGCTGAGGCAGGAGGATGGAAAGTTCAAGCCCACCCTGGACACCTTAGCCATTTAGTGAGACTGTCTGAAAATAAAAAATTAAAAAGAAACAAAAAATGAGAAGGGGATATATATTGCTCATTGTGAAGATCCTGACTGCAAGGAAAATAAAAAGTTCTTAGTTGGATATAATTTTCATTCTTGACCAGGGGTTTGCAAACTTTTCTTCTAAAGGGCCAGATAAATATTTTAGGGTTGCAGCCATAGTCTCATGTTTTTCTTTCTTCTTAAAAATCTAAGTTTGGGCCAGGGATTTAGCTCAGTAGTTCTGCCGCTTGCCTTGCAAGTGCAAAGTCCAGAGTTTGATTCCTGGTACCCCCCGCCCCCCAAAAACCTAAAAGTTGTTCTTAGCTGAAGTCTATGGATTGGATTTGGCTCCACAATGTATAGTTTGCTGACCTCTATGCTAGGTATATATATCTATATTATCTATCTATCTATCTATCTATCTATCTATATATAGATATATATCAGTGATCTTGCTAAGCAACATGACTCAACTTATATTTTGTATGTGTATGAAGTATATATAAAAAGATATGAAACATATTTGTATATATGTTTTGGTACTGGTGATTGAATCCAGGGCCTTCCCCAGCCCTTTCATGACTCCTTTTTGATGAAGAAATTCTTTTCTTAATGTCTTTCCTAATAGAATTGTAGGTTCTAAAACTGAGCATGTGGTTTTTTGTTTTTTTTTTTGGAATAAATTAGAGGGCTAATATTTATTACTTTGATTTTCAGATGGTGACCCTGATAATTATATTGCATACTATCGGAGAGCTACTGTCTTTTTAGCTATGGGCAAATCAAAAGCAGCACTTCCTGACTTAACTAAAGTAATTGAATTGAAGATGGATTTTACTGCAGTAAGTTTATCTAGATTTTGTTTAAAAGGGAACTAAAGGGAACTTGGAAGAGGTAATTTGTTTCTTAAGTGAGGATCGACATGTTTCACGTAGCTGCAGGACCTCAAAGCTGTTGTGATGCAGTGGACTGGGGAACAAGAGGAATTCCAAGTCCCTGGAATTTATGAGCACAGAAGCATAGAACTGTAGTCCCAGCCATGGGGGAAGGAGAGGATTCCTTGAGTTCAGGAATTAGAGGCCACCTGAGCAGCATAGTGGAATCACATGTCAAAACCAAACCAAACCAAAGGTAACAAAGCCTCTAGAATTAAAGTCTTCATGAAAGAGGATCAGATGGTGTACTAGGTGATTTTTCAGAAGTTGGCTTTGTGGTTTAGAAAGATGAATCTGTGTGAAGGATGGATGACAGGGAAAGATATTAAGGAGACATAAATTAAGAGGCTAACAAGCTGAAGAATACAGAGGAAATAGCTCAGTTAAGCAGTGGTTTGTGTTAGTGGGATTCCCAGGGGAACAAGTTTTGGCGGTGGGGACACCTGTAGTCTGCGCAGTGTCTTGAAGGTTGACAGATTTCTATGGGGGCTGTGGCAGACGTGCAGGGACTCATTGAGTGGCACACAGGTGGGGCTTTTAGAAGTAGCATAGAGAGAACCATCGACCAATTTTTTCAAAATTAATTTGGTAACCAGCCAGGTGTAGTGGCCCATGTCTATGATCTCATCACTCAGGAGGCTGAGGCAGGACCATTGCTTCAAATTCAAGGCCAGCCTGGGCTACATAAAAAGACCCCCCTGGTCAAAAAAAAGGAAAAAAAATTTAATTTGGTCACCATTTATTTATATCCTTCTGTATTCCAAAAAGGATGAGATAACTAACTGATTAGATATGGAATGAATGTTTGCTTTGAAATATTACTGTTACTTTAAGATAGAATCCCAAGTGTCAAATTTTTAATGAATCTGTTACTTTACACTAAACTTAATAAGCTCATTTTACTGGCATTGTGATAAGCAAATCTTTCTGGATTTTAAATCAGGAAAGAACTAAATAATGCAACTTTTATTTTAGTGGCAAAAGTTACTAGATGGCAAATATTATTTTTAAAAATTGAGATATAATTCATATACCATCAAATTCACTGTTTTAAAATATTCAGTGGTTCTTAGTGTATTTACAATATTGTACAATCACTACTACCTAATTTTAGAACATTTTTATAACCTTCAAAGTAAACCCTGTGCCTATGAGCAGTTCCTCCCCATTTCTTTTTTTGTTTTTTTTTTTTTTGGTACCGGGGATCGAACTCGGGTCCTTGAGCTTGCAAGGCAGACGGTGGAACCACTGAGCTAAATCCCCGGCCTTCCCCATTTCTACTTTAGTCTCTGGCAACAATTTATCATGGATTTGCCTGTTTTGAATATTTCATAAAGATGAAACCATTCAGTATGTGGCCTCATGTGTCTGACTTCTTTCATTGAGCATGTATTCAAGGTATTTTTATGTTGTAGCACATATTAAGACTTTATTACGTTTTTTTTTTTTGGTACGGGGGATCGAACTCGGGTCCTTCCCTTACAAGGCAGGCAGTGGAACCACTGAGCTAAATCCCTGGCCCCCAGTGCAAGTTTTTGTGTGGATATAAGTTTTCAGTGTTCTTGAATAGAGCAAAATGTGTTGTTAACGAAGTGCATATTAACAGAAGTTAGGGCCGGGGATTTAGCTCAGTGGTGCCACCGCCTGCCTCGCAAGTGCAAGGTCCTGAGTTCGATCCCTGGTACCAAAAAAACCCCCCAAAAACAAAAAACAGAAGTTATAGCCATTTATTTGTTCCAAGAATTATTCTCAGTGCCAAGCTCAAATGAGCATTTGAAAAATAAATATTAATAATTTTATTATCTTACTTAGTTTTATTCTTTGTGATTAAAGAAAATTTAGAACTATATAGTATACTTAGCACGGGCTGGGGATTTAGCTCAGTGGTTCCGCCGCCTGCCTCGCAGGTGGAAGGACCTGAGTTCGATCCCCGGTACCAAAAAAAAAAGAGTATACTTACCAGAATTCCCTCTTTTTTTCCAGGCAAGATTACAGAGAGGTCACTTATTACTCAAACAAGGAAAACTTGATGAAGCAGAAGATGATTTTAAAAAAGTGGTAAGTTCAGTTTGTACTTAGCTTTAAGTTGCTATTTTGAGAGAAGATATTGGACCTATTTTTCCTTTGTATTAAATCATTAGTAGTAATTTTATAGTTGAAAAGGAAAATTGTCTGAATGTAAGAATCATTTTCTGAGTTAATATTTGGTGACTGATATCCAGGAATCACATTAACTGTTGGAAGGTAAATTGTACACAACTGATATAATTCACTTACTCTGTTTTGTCCTATATTAGAATCTAGAAATGTCAGGTGAGCTATTCTTTTTTTTTTTTTTTAATTCTTTTAATACAAATGTATTCGCTTACACACTTATCAAACCACTCCAAGACATATTACTGTACTCCAAGGGTGCATAAGCAAATTCTACAGGCGTATGGGCATAGGGGATTCCTAATCCAGTGAAGAAGATTAAGAAAAGGACTGGAGTAGAGATTCCCAAACTGTATCATCTAAGATAAGGGAATAAGAAGTGCTTTTTTTTTTTTGGTACCGGGATCGAACTCCAGTCCTTGTGCAGGCGGCAAAACCACTGAGCTAAATCCCCGGCCCAGGTGAGCTATTCTTAAAGTCCTCTAAGTTACTTGAGAGATTTTTCATTTGATTTGAGGGGAATCCTGAAACATTCTTAAAGGGAATTTTCCAGTCATCCAAAATTTGGCTTTGTTGGGGGAATATTATAAATTACATGCCAAGGGAGTATACACTGAAAAAAGCTTCTAGGGGAGATAGTTAACCAATTTCTGCTTGCCCTCATTTGGCTTAAAACCTTCATTTTTGTTTAACATGGATTTTCTAGAGTGGTATGGAAAAGGCATAATATTCCATTGTTCCTTGTTCACATTTTTGTAGTTTATTGAACTGCATATTATTCTGATAATTACTATGAAAATAAAACTAAAATGTCTAATATTGTCATAACTTGTCACAATACTCAGTCATCTGCAGACAATCCTAAAAACATTACTTAACTGTATTGAATCAGCAGCTCTTTCCTAGTCTCAATAAATTATCTGCCATTTTGTGCTTTACTGTCCTCCCCTCATATTGGGAAGGTGCTTGCTAAACACAGTTCCGGAGTTAATATTGGGAAAGCCTGTGAAGATCGGGTGGTGTGGATGGGGAGTGCTAGAGTAAACTTTCTCTGGCCAGGCCTTTGTTCAGAGCAGATGTGTGAAATGGGTAAAGGTTAGATGAATGAGAGAACATGTGAAAGTGTTGTTTTCCTCTTACAAATGCTTAAATCTATTACTTAGGATTTTTTTCTAATCACTATTATAGCATAGCCATACAGAAATAGTACAATAGTTAAGGGTAATGTTTCAGGACAACTTAATCTGTACTAGGCATTGGTTATAACCTTTTGGAAAAATGAGAGTTTGGAACCTTGGATATGCTTTGGGTTTTGTTTTTTTTCCTGGGATCAAAATTAAAATCAGAAACAAGCAGGGAAACTTTCTACTTTTAAATTGTTCTGTGGAGTTCTGCTTCTGCTAATGCATGCTTAAAATTTGCTTTACCATTGTTACAGGGATTGTTCCATAAGAATGTGCATCTGTACTGAAAAATTGTTTATTTTTTAAATGTTTTAGAAATTTTATCAGATGTGTAGTTTACAAATATTTTCATGTAGTCTGTAGCAAATGTTTTCATCCTCAGGAGTCTTTAATTTTGATGAAGTCCTATTTATTTTCTTCTATTTATTTTCACTTCAATGGACTGTGCTTTTGGTATTATTTCTCAGAACTAGTCACCAGGTTCTGAATTCTGAGGCTTTCCTCCTGTTTTATGCTCTTATGTTTTTGTTTAAAATAGAAGATTTAAGGGCCAGGGATTTAGCTCAGTGGCACCGTGCCTGCCTTGCAAGCACAAGGTCCTGAGTTCAATCCCCAGTACCAAAAAAAAAAAAGACTTACTTTGAGTTAAATTTTATATAATGTATGAGCTTAATGTTGATTTTGTTTTGCTGTTTAATATCCCATTGCTCTAGCTTTTGGTTTTTTTTGGTATCTGGGATCAAACTCAGGACCTTGTGCTTGCAAGGCGGGCACTGGAACCACTGAGCTAAATCCCCGGCCCCTAGCACTGTATTTTGAAAAAGCTTTCTTCCCTTTACTGAACTGCTTTTGTACCTTTTTCAAAAATCATTTGGGTGTACTTGTGTGGACTTGTTTATGGGTTCTGTCTGTCCCTGTGCCATTCCTATGCTCTCTTGATTAGTATAGCTGTACAGTATTAAAAGAAAAATTTTTGACAGTTTAGCAGAGTTTATCTTAGCAGGGATGGGTTCATGAATTGGACAGTAGTCAGAACCAGAAAAGATGCAGGAAGCTGGGCCCTGAAGTGTGAGCACTGATTATTTATAGACAGAAAATGGAAGTGAGGCAGAGAAACAGCTTGACTGGTTATGGCTCTGCCTTTGCCTTATGTAGATATGGTCTGGTCAGTTGATGGCCTGTGCTTGGCTGAAGCTCAGCTGCTTATGATCAGCTGAAACTGCTCTTCATTCTACTAACGTTAGGTTTTCAATTTGTTTACATTCTAAATGGAGTTATAGTTCCTTAAGAACTCAGTGTGTGGAGACAGCCTCAGGCCAATGGCTTTATGCTTATTTAATAATAGTAAACTTCAATATTGGGTAAACTGATTCTGCTCACTATAATTCTTCTATGTCAAGATTGTGTTAGAAATCCTAGACCCTGTGCCTTTTCATGTAAATTTTAGCACAAACTGGTTTACGTTTGTTAAAAGCTTTGCAGATATTTTCATAGGAATTGAAGTAAACCTGTAGATTAACCTGAGGAGATTGGACATCTTTTTTATGTTGAGTTTTCCAATTCATAAACTCATGTTTCTCCATTTATTTAGGTGTTTTTTTATTTCTTTTATAAATAGTTTGTGCTTTATGGTATACAGGTCCCATGTTTTTTCTGTTTGCTTGTTTTTTGAGACAGTGTCTCACTATATAGTTGAGGCTGGCCTTGTACTCACTTTGTAGCCCAAGCTGGCCTCAAACTTGTAGTGATCTTCCTGCCTCAGCCTCCCGAGTGCTGGGATTATAGGCATGTATCATCACGCCCAGCGGTCCTGTATATTTTTTATATTTTAAAAAATACATCCTCAGTGTTTCATTTCTTTCCTTTTTTCTTTTGAAGTGATTATAAATGGTGCTTTTTATTTGGTACTGAGGATCGAACTCAGGACTTTGTGCTTGTGAGGCAGGCACGGTGCTACTGAGCTAAATCCCTAGCCCTGGTACTATTTTAATTACAGTTATTTCATGGAATAACTTTTGTGTTTATTTGATCAAGAAAGTACTCGATTTATGCTTAATTCTATAGGCGAAAACTTGAGACTAAAGATGGGAGACCAAATTAAATCTTTTTTTTTTTTTTTTGTACCGGGGCTCGAACTCGGGTCCTTGCCATTGTGCGGCAGACGGCGAAACCACTGAGCTAAATCCCCAGCCCCCCAAATTAAATCTTAACGTTGGAAAACCATTTAAAATTTTTTTGAAACAAATCGGTTTGTTTATAAGAATAATTATAACTAGATTAGATTTGGTTTATAGAAAAATGTAAGCAGATAAATGTAGTAAATTAATATATTTCAGAAGTATTTCATGTTGTCTTATTTGAAGTAAATTTAGGTTACCTGGACTGTTTAGTTTGCCCAAACTCATTGTTGTGGTACCTAAAATTCAGATTAATAACTGGAAAATCCATATGAATATGCTCTCTCTGATCAGTAGGTACAGTGCTGTCCAAGATTGTGGGTGGTAGAAGGGGGAGACAGGGACATGAAATGGAATATTGAAGAAAAACTTACTTAATATGTATAGAGTTGATTAAATTGTAATCATTTGGTTGTGGTTTTTTTTTGGTGCTGGCGATTGAACTCAGGACCTTGTGCTTGCAAGGCAGGAGGTGGAACCACTGAGCGAAATCCCCGGCCCTTTTGGGGTTTTTTTGGAGGGTTATGTAATTTAGGCTGGCCTTGAACTCACTGTGTAGTCTTGGCTGGCTTCAAACTCATGGTGATCCTCCTGTTTCTGGCTCCCAAGTGCTAGGATTACACCACATCCAGCAAATTTTAAGCATTTGTAACCTGTATTCTACAGAATAAATGATAAAATATTATTATAGTAAGTCCCTGACTTATGAATGAGCCCTTTCCAGGAGAATATTTGTAAGTCGGATTTGATTGTAAGTGTGACGAAGCCTTACACACCTTTGACACAAATGTACAATGTAAAGCATAAAACACTCTCTCTCTCTCTCTGCTTTTCCTTTTCCTCCTGGATATCCTGGGCTCTGATTCAGCACTGTATAGTAAGCAACAGGAGCACAATGGTGATAATTCTTGGCAGACAGCAGAGTTACTTCTGTGATTTGTTTGCATCTATGAACATTTGTAATGTGAGGTCCATTAATATCAATGAAAGTTCGCAACTCGAATGTTCAGAAGTCAGGGAGTTAATGTATCAGGAATACAGCATAAAAGATACAAATCCAAAAGCAGTGTATACCATGTTCAATGCTTTCTAGATGAAGAGATAAACATTAAAACTATTCATAACGACTGCTGTTAAATGTAGTAAAAACCAGTAAATGTCATAGTGACTAATTTTGATGGGTTTTAAAGGAAATGTTTCCCTCATGTAATATTGAAATTGCTAATAAAAACAGCTTTTGTAGAAGAGTCTGACAGTACTGTGAAAGAAAAACATTTTGCCTAGAGGTATTTATTGGAGTACTGTTTTGTAAACCTTTAGAGGATGTTGTGTCAATTATTTATATGTGATGTGGACTTAGAGACCTAGACATACAAAATAATGCAATAAAGTTTTTAAAATGTTGATTGTAACTACATATTTTTGTGTCAGTTTGATAAAATATTTCCCCTTTTGTAAAGTTATAGATAATACATTTTGAAGGAAAAGAAAAGCTTTGAAATAAGAGGGAGGGACATTGGATTTTTGAATCAGTTTTTGCAATACTCAGGATGTGCCGGAATGTTGCTAAGTGGTTTGCTTGAATATTTTCACTTAATCACGGTTCCATCTCTGGGGAGTGGTGTATTGGTAGTCATAATGTATAGAAGAGGAAGTTGAAGTTTAGGGTGGTTTAGTAATCTGGTGTGTTAGTCACCTTTCCCTCATTGGGACAAAATACCTGACATACACAACTGAAGGAGAAAAAGTTTATTGTGGCTCATGGTTTCAGAGTTTTAGCCCATGGTCACTGGCTCCAAGGCAGCCACATCATGATGGAGGTGCATGACAGGAAAGCTGCTTATGTCATGGTGGCCAGAGCAGAGGGAGGCCAAGAGACAGACAGACGAGGAGGGTGGGGATAGGATATACCCCTCTGAGGCACACCCCCAGGGACCTCCCTCCTCCAACTGGGCCCCACCTTTTAATAGCCCATTCCGCCATGGACTTATCAGTGCATTAATCAGTGATGAGAACAGCACCCACAATGTATGAGTCTTCAGAGCTACTTCATATTTGATCCATAACATCTGCCATTGTCACACCACTATTTAGCATGTAGGTTTTAGATTCCAGAGCTTTCGCTGTTAAGTACTGTGATGTTCTGCCCTTTGCTATAATTAGTAACTGTCCACCTGTGTCCTGAAGACTTCCCTGTGGAAAAGGGCACAGGTCTCAACTATGTATTTGACATAGTACACAGAACAGTTGCTGCTGTTTGGGTAGAAGTGAAAAAACACATACATTTTCTTGAATATAGGTAAAACACTTCTGGAAATATATGTAAGAAACTAATAACATTGGTTACTTCTGGGAGGAAAAGTATTCCATATATGACCATATTACTTATTCAGAAAATATATATTTTACACATTTTGTATAAGTGACCTTGGAAAATTCTTGCCTTCTGAGGTTTTCATTTCCCTCACTTGAAGTATAGAGATTGAGTAGGTGACCTGATAGTCTCTGTTGTTGTTACCATAAAGTGGATGATTTCTGGGTCTAGTTTGAAAAGATCAATTTTGTCATAATTATATTTTATCTCCAATAAATAATTCTTTACTTTAATTGTTGAATATTTGTCAATTTAGTGTTATTTAGTAGTTTGGTTATTTTGTATGCCTACAGTTAAATGAGTGTTCAAGATCATTAACCAGCCTAAAGATATATTACTAAAAATTTCATATACTAATATAATACTATATACAACTGGTAGTTGTTTTATGTAATAGAACACATTTTTTACAGTAAATGAAGTTTTAAAAACATTTTTTACAGTAAAATAGGCTTAATCGCTTTTTGTGTGCCAATGACAATCTCATTCTTTGTTATGCATGCAGATTCTTCTGTAGATTACCAGTGAACAGGTATTACTTCAGGTCCATACTCGCTGTTCCATTCCTAAACAGATTCTTTAGTTTAAGTTTGAGCTGTCAGTGACTCTTGCTTTAATCAGTGCATTTAATGTGTTGGTTCAGTGAGGGGTGGAGTGCATGTTCTTTGCTAGGTAGACTGTAGGTGGTATAGCATTGCTGATGGAGAAAGCTAGTCTCTGCCTTCTAAGAGATGAAACTAAGTAAGCTAAGAACGAATCAGACAGATAATAAGTGCTGTGACTTTAGGTCCTCTAGGAACATACAGAAGGGTCACCTAGCTTTAGCTTGGATTTGAGGATCTGGAGTTAAAGGCTTTCATAAAGCAGGTTACCTGCTTGAAATCTTTTTTTTTTTTTTTTTTGGTACTGGGATCAAACTCACGACCTTGCACTTGCAAGGCAGGCACCAGAACCACTGAGCTAAATCCCCGGCCCTGAAATCTTAATCTGTATAAATGGGTGAATTAGTGTTAGCCAGGTGGGTTGGTATACCATTCAGGGCAAGGGTGAGGAGCTTATGTAAAAGCAGTAGTCAAGAAAGTGCCAGTCATTTTGGAAATAATCCCTCCAGTAAGACTGAAGTAATACTGTGCCTCAGTTCATGAATGCTTCTGTTCACAAACAATTCTGTTGGCAGACAGAAGCATTTGAATACAAATGGAGCCACCTCCCTCAGAATCGTGGAATGAATTAAGTTTGTGAACCAAGGTGCCATTGTGGTACCTTATGGCTATTAAGAAATGATACAAGCTCTACCCTGTGTTAGTTACTACTGTGGTAGTTATCTGTTGTTATATAACAGATTACCCAGCAGTAGCAGATGAATGCAGCACATTGCTTGTTATCTCAGTTTATGGTGTTAGGAACTTGGGCATGGCACAGCTGGGTGCTCTCCACGAGGGTCTCCTCCACAGTGTTTCTAAGGATCAAATCTGTGTGTGTCTTGTTGATATGGAATGTAAGAGATTAAAAACTCTGCCTAATTTAATTTGTCATTATTCCTATAGCTTAAATCTAATCCAAGTGAAAATGAAGAAAAGGAAGCCCAGTCTCAGCTTATAAAGTCTGATGAAATGCAGCGTTTGCGTTCACAAGCACTTGATGCTTTTGACAGTGCAGATTATACTGCTGCTATAACCTTCCTTGATAAGATTTTGGAGGTAAGTTTCTTAGATACTGCAGCTGATGAGCTTGACGCTGCTTTTTACTGTGAGGCATGTTTATATACTTTGATATGCTCTATAACCACAAAATGCCTAGACTGGACAAAATGAGATTGATAGTTGAGCTTTCAGCTCTTAAGTGACTCTGTTTCTGTAGAAAAAAATGTGCAACCAAAACTTTCTGTGAATGTGATGGGAGAGCGAAAGTTAACATTTTTATGCATTGCTTATTTTGCTATTTGGTTTGATGTTGTATTCTTCGGGGTAGAGAACTTTAGAGGCAAGATACTAAGGTAAAAGATGGAAATTGGTAGAAGCAAAAGGAAAAATAATGTTAGAAAGAGGAGTATTTACATGAAGGGTTTCTAGGAAAGAAGGCAGGAAGAAATGATAGGCTCCAGAGGGTTTTAGGTAGTTTAAGTTTAGATTGGGTCTCTTTGCCGCAGGAGGATTTAATGACAAATGATTTCAGAATGAAGTCTAAAATACTCAAATGAAAGCAGTCACAATTCATATTTAACTACTATTTTCACAGCACTATGATGTCCAGTTTCATTTAGTCTTGGAAGTAAACTTGTGTTGTATATAAAATGGGCATTTTCTTGGATAATTTCATGGAGGAAATTATGTGACATGGCTCTTGCCTGGTTGCTCTGGCTGATGTTTTGATTACTATATTAAGAAGGAGGGCACTGAGTTTTCCACATATTGCGCTCCCATTGTATATGGGAGAAATAGGTGGCTTATTATTGTTATTATTAAAATTGTTTTGGGGAACCTTTTCTCTCCTGTTCTGTTGCCTGCAGGCTCTTGGCACTGGAGTAATGGTGTGTGGCAAATGAGATTTTCCCCCATCATGTTTTCAGCTTCTTTGTGTCCCTGGGTTGAAGCTGTCTGACTTCTCTGTGGGTTTATTTAACATGCTAGATGGCCTCGGAGGGGCCCACTTGCTCCTCCCTCAGTCAGCCCAGTCCTTTCCCAAGACGGCAGGGGCAGTGGGTCTGCAGTGGGCGGCAGGTTACTGTAATCCTAGTGTGGACCAGTGTTCCCTCTTTCACCCTCTAAGCTGGTTTTAGGCCAGCTGGGTTGTCTTTTTACTATCCTGTGTCAGACTTTATCTTTCACCCCCGCCTCAGAATAACTGCTTTTCCTTAGTACCAAATTGGAGGTACTCAGTCGCTGGTGCCCCCTCTGTGTCCATGGTGAATCTCTTTTTTGATAAAAAGGATTTAATTTCAAAGAGGTGACATTGTACAAAAGAGAATTTTATTTGGATATCAGTAGAATAAAATCATTTGCTAACTTAGAACCTGCATTTTCTTTGACTAGAAATTATAATTGTTAAGTACAAATATGATTGTAAAATATTCTCTTCAAATATACTTTCCTGGGAATAGCCCTCTAATAGTAAATGCTATGTTTTCTTTTTTTTGGTACCGGGGATCGAACTCGGGAACTTGCACTTGCGAGGCAGGCGCTGGAACCACTGAGCTAAATCCCTGGCCCAATGCTATGTTTTCATATACTCAGAGTTTTAGAATTGTATATATAATTGACAGACAAAGGAAAGAGGCCATATGCATTTGTGTGTGTGTATGTATATATTCCTTCTCCAGTTAGAATTTAAGATGTCCTTGGAGAAACTGTCACATCATTTTTTTGTCACATCTAAATTGTATCAGACTTTTAAACACTATTTACAGGACAGAAGCCATCACATTAATTGAGGATGTTTCATGTTGATAATTTTTTTTTGGAACCAGGAATCGAACTCAGGACCTTGGGCTGAGCTAAACCTCCGGCCCTATATGGATAAATATTTTAATAAAAATATGTAGGGTGCAAAAATGAATGTGTATAATTATTGTTTCTTAAAGTTTAGTTCTTTTGTTTTTAAGGTTTGTGTTTGGGATGCAGAACTACGAGAACTTCGAGCTGAATGTTTCATAAAGGAAGGGGAACCTCGGAAAGCTATAAGTGACTTAAAAGCTGCATCAAAATTGAAGAATGATAATACTGAGGCATTTTATAAAATCAGCACACTGTACTACCGACTAGGAGACCACGAACTGTCCCTCAGGTCAGCTCTACTGACACCCATATTCTGATTATTCTTTTGTCATTGGGAATAAGAATAACCTCATTTAAAAAAACGCATTACACTGATAAAATTACCTGATTAAGCCTTCTTTTATATTCTATATCCACGGATATATTCCATATCCATTTTATTATCTATGTCCATCTCTAAGTTACTTTGATTTCAAATAACTTGTTTAATGAAATACGCTTATTAAAGTAAATGGGAGGGCTCCTCTTATTTGTAGAAACACAGTGGAATGCTTACTGTATAACTGTACAGGCCATTCAATTTAAATTAGTATGTCCATGGTACAGTGTCATATATAACTGTACAATAAATCATTAAGGCAGTTACGTTTTAAATTGTTACAAATAAAGGCACTTATTTCTATATCTAATCTGCAAAACTTCATTATTTTAACATGGAATATTTTCCTTTTTAAAAATTATATGAGCAGTGAAGTTCGTGAATGTCTTAAACTTGATCAGGATCATAAGAGGTGTTTTGCACACTATAAACAAGTGAAGAAACTTAATAAGCTGATTGAGTCAGCTGAAGAGCTTATCAGAGATGGCAGGTAAGAATATGCTTATTTATACCATCCAGACTTTCCTTTTATGTCCTGTTGTGGGCACAGATGAACTACTGAACTGTCTGCTTGTTGGTTGCTTGGTTATTCAGGGTAAGATGGTACTGGACCTTAGCAAAACTATCAGGATTGAACATTTTGGGAACAAGACAATATAAATACAGTGGTACCTCGATTCATAAACTCTATTCTTTCCACAATTCTGGTCGCAAACTGAATTGGACAAGAACCAAATCAAATTCAATGGTTAGGTTCAATGTTGACCTTATGGGGCAGTTTGACTTGGCTCTTCCAGTTCAATTTGCCACTGGAATTGTGGAGAGAATTGAGTTCTGTGAACTGAAGAATCACTGTAATACAAATTGCATACTATCTTTACCTGCATATTTATTTTTTAGGATTTTTATTGTTTCTTATATCAGACACAGCTATGTACCGAGAATGCCAAAATAAATTTGACTAAGTAGTTTTTGGTCTTGAAAAGTTTATAGCATAGTGTGGGAGACAGACATATAAACTTCTTAAAAGATAATGATACCAAAGTGCTAGCATGTACACAGTATAATGGGAGTACCAAAGAAGGACATTTAATCCAATGTAGAGTGGTGAAGCCCAGGAGTAAAACAGAAGTTTATTGGAGGTGACAGATATTTAAATGCTCATCTTGAAGTATAAGTAGGAGTGGCTAAAAGTAAATGATTCTGTCTGTGTATTATTTGTAGGAGGTTTGCAGGTTGGAGCTGGAGAGTTAAAGAGAATATAGAACGTGCCACACAATGCTGTTAGAAGGCAGGTTCTGACGCCCTACTCCTAATTCCTTTGTAAGCTGTCCTTGGAAGAATGCTTTACCCAGTTTTCCACAATGTCTTGCAAATTGTAACATCTTGGAAACTTGGAATACAATATCACCATCAGGATAGTGATTAAAATTCCACAACTAGGATCTCTCTTGTAGCCATTTTATAGCCAGGACTACTTCTCTTCTGTCCCTACCTCTTCCTTAGCTCCTAGAAACACCAGTATCTTCTCCATTTCTATAATGTTGTCATTTCAGGAATGTTACAGAAATGGAGTCATATAGAATGTAAACTTTTGGGATTGGCTTTCCATGTAGTGTAATTCCCTGGAGATTTATCCAGATTGTTATGTGTATCCATATTTCCTTTCTGTTTATTGCTGACTCGTTTCCATGGTTTGGATGTACTACAGTTTGTTTAGCCATTTATTAAAGATCACCCACTGCAGGTCAAAATAGCTATTTTGGCTATTAATGAATAATGCTGCTTTCATGTGTAGGCCTTTGCGTGAATGTAAGTTTTCATTTCTCTGGGATAAATGGCAGGAATGCTATTGCTAGGCTGTCTGGTAGTTGCGTTTTTTAGTCTATAAGAAATTGCCAAATTGATTTTCAGAATGAATGTATCATTTAACATCTACCACCATGGTCCAGCTGTATTTTTAGAGTTTATTGTATGACATAACTTATTAGAGTTTATTGGTGTCATTTCAGTGGCTGAATTAGGGTAAAAGAATCTTTTTTCCCTTAAATTACCTTTACCCTCTCCTGTTTATAATTGTCTTAAATATTTCCTCTACAACATTGGACAGTTACAAATTTTGCTTCAACACTGAACATAATTTAGAAACTCAAGAGGAACAAAACTTAGACTAGTCTGTTTTGTGTTGCTACAGCAAAATACATGAGACTGGATACTTTTTATACAGAAAAGGTGGTTTGTCTCATGCTGGTGGCTGGAAAGTCATGCAGCATGATACCTGCATGGTACCTGGTGAGGGCTCGCTGGCTGTATGGCAGAGAAGCAGAAGAGTCCAAGCATGTGGGGTGGCCTTGCTTTATAATAACTTTCTCTTGACAAGGAACATGGTCCTTTGAGAACTACATTAATCCCTTTCAAAGGTGCCCCCATGACCTAATTAACTTTCACTAGGCCTCACCTCTTAAAGGTACTGCCACACTAGGGGCCAAGCTTCCAGCATGTGAACTTTTGGGGGACAAGCCATAAGAAATACTCAGATTTTGATTCTCATTTTGTTTACCATGCTCCTTGCTCCTTCTTAATGTTCCAAGATGCTATCTTTTATCCTTGGTGTGTGCCCCCCCCCACCAGCCCCCTTTTGGTACTGAGAATTGAACCCAGGTCCTCATATATGCTGGGCACGTGGTCTGCTGCTGAGCTATGTCCTCAGCCCCATATCCTTTCTGTTTAGAGAACTCCCTTAAGGGAAGGCCTTGGTAACAACTTTCTAGTATTTCTGTACCTGAGAATGTCTTGACTTCCCTTTAATTACTGAAGGAAATTTTCTCTGGGTTTGGATTCTAGGTTAACAGATCTTTTTCTGTTTTGCATCTATAAGATTTTGGGTCACTTCTTTCTTGCCATAGTTTCTGATGAGAAATCTTTTGTCATCCTGATAGGAAGTGGCACTTTAAGGGAAAAACTGACTGTTTTTAAGACTTTTTTCTTTGTGTTCAGAAGTTTAATTGTGATATATCTTTGCAGGCATTTCTTTGTGTTGATTCTATTTGCAAGTTACTTAGCTTCTTGAATATAGTCATATACTATATAATGCCATTTGGTCAAGACATACCACATATGCAGTGGTGGTCCCATAAGATTATAATGGAGAGGGCCGGGGATTTAGCTTAGTGGTTCCGGCGCCTGCCTCGAAAGCACAAGGTCCCGAGTTTGATCCCTGGTACCCCCTGCAAAAGATTATAATGGAGGTGAAAAATTGCTATTGCTTAGTGACATCATAACTGTTATAATACAATGCATTACTCAGGTGTTTGTGGTGACGGTAATAGAAATTAAACCTGGTAGTCATATAAAAGTGCAGTTCATCACACTTGACTGTGAACATAAAGGACTATATTGGTGGTTTATGTACTTTATCATACCGTATTTTTATTAGAATATTAAAAAATGTTTATTGTAAATCAGGATGCTGTGCTATGTTGGCAGCAGCCTTAAACTTCTCATGTTGGAGGCCAACTCAAACAGCTGACTTGCACCATTTAGGTTAGTGTAAGTGTGCTCTGTTTTTGCAGAATGATGAAATCGCCTAACTGGCCTATGTAATGTTCAGAAAGTAGTTTCATTTTAGCAATGCAGACTATATTTAGGTTTATGTCCCTTCAAATACAGGAAATTTTCATCCATTACTTTTTTAAGTACTTTTTCAGCTCTTCTCTACTCTCTTTGGACTAAGGTGACATTAATATTAGATCATTTGTTACACCCTTACTGTCCCCTGAGGCTCTGTTCAGTATTTAAAGTCTGTCTTCGTTTTGTCGTTCAGATTTGGTAATTTCTGTTGTATTCAGTAATAGTTTTATCTGTCTCCTTGGTTGTATTATAGAGTACATTCAGTGAGGCTTTCTATTTCCATTTCTGTATTTTTTTAGTTCAAGAATTCGATTTGGTTACTCTTTGATTCTTTTATTTCTTCACTGAGACTATTTGCTGAGGCGTTCGATGTTTTTCATGTTTCAAGCTTGTTTGTAATTGCTGCTTTTGTTTGTGGGTACTTTAACATCTTTGACAGATAATTCTAACATCTCTGTCCTCTTGGTTGGCTTCAGTGATTATCTTTTCTCAAAAAATCTGAGAATTTAATATTTTTTGGTATGATGAGTGGTTTTTAACTGAAAGCTAGAATTTTCATTTCATGTTTAAGGCTTTGGTTTTTATTTAAACCTTCTGTTTTGGCTAGCTTTTTCTGATACTGTTCCAGCAAAGAGAGAGTGGGATGAGCACCACCTTGGCACTGCTAGATGGAAGTGTCGCACTTGGCCTTTGCTAATACTTGAGGGAAAGAGGTCTTCTTGGTATATCACAGGTAGCTTGGTGCAGGTCAGAATCGTGGCTACTCGCATGGTCTCCACTAACACCACTGGGGGAGTAGAGCGGGACTTACTATCAACCATGGAGGAAAGTCTGGGCCCCTCTTGGCCTTCTCTGACACTACCTTGGCAGGTGTGGGGGGAACCTTGTTCTTCCTCATCAGGGAGGATGTCATAGTCCCTTGGCCTTCCCTGGCATTTTCGGGGATGATGGTGGTAGAGGGGCATGATTTTGTCTGAAGCTTTTGCCTGGTCTAAAGCTGTTATTGTCAGACAGTTTTCTGCCTTGCTAGGCAGCCCTTTCCAGATCATCTGGTTAGGGAAAGCAGACTTAGTTTTTGTTCTGCATTTCTGGATTGCTGGCATCTTCAGCTCTAAGTGTGGGATATGAGAAACTCAGGGAACTTACTACCATGTTTTTCCTCAGTCCCAAGGTTGCTAGCTAATCTGCCTTCTTCTCTACCTGGTTTGTGTCTGTAGTCTTCAAAAACATGTAATATCTAGGGTTTTAATTGTACTTAGCTGGAGGATTTGAGAAAAGTACACCTACTTTACTTTCCCAGAAGCTAGCTTTTCTTTTAAATGTTCAAACCTGTGTATTAATACATCAGCATTTAAATGTGAAGATTTAAATATAAATCTTAAATAAGATTTAAATATAAATATATCTTTTAGCTGGCCATTCTTGAAGATAATAACTTGGTATATAACAACAAGCTAGTCTAGCTTTTACAAACTAGTACTTTCCACCAGTTTAAAGAAAATGATGCGATACAGTGCTGCCTTGGTACTTGTTAATTGGTTCTGAGATGCACGATGAGTCCCCAAAGCCGTTAGTCCCAGCCAGAGTGCTTCTGCTGGAAAGGGTAAGGAGTGATGAGGTAGATGATACTGAGTATCAGACCGACAGTAAGTACTGGGACAAGATTGTCCCATCAGAATGCATCTAAGTATAAAATTCAAAAATTTTCTAATCAGTTGAGTACGAAGGTATGACTGTAGCTTTATGGCTCTTAGAAAGCTTATAAAGTTGGGAATTTAAGGAGATTCCTTTTGCATTGTACTTAGTTGTGAATGACATTAATTATATAAAATGGCACATACTAGGCTCTGTTATTTTCATAAAAGTGTATAGCAGCTAAGAAAGCAAACTTGATCTTTATTTTGTGGTCAGTGTTTATTACAGTGTAAGTCAGACTGTTTGTGCTTTAATGTTTGAAAATCATGAGTTGTGTTCTACAGGAAACGTCAGCTCAGGGGCCAGAGATGTAGCTCAGTGGTGCTGTGCCTGCCTCTCAAGCCCAAGGTCCTGAGTTCGATTCCTGGTACCAGAAAAAAAAAAGGCCAAGGTTTGATTGGTACTGACAGGCAACATCTGCTGTTTTAACTCCTGCCTCAGGATTACACCTTCTGTGCGACTCTGGAGGTCAGATAGAGCAGGTCAGAAGGCAGGTGCTCACTCAGTTGAATTGGTTAGGCAACCTACACATAGTGAAGGAAGAGGGTCCTTTCTGTAGTTCAGGAGATAGAACTTCACTCTTACTCATCATGGTTTGCACATTTAACAGATACACAGATGCCACGAGCAAATATGAATCTGTCATGAAAACAGAGCCCAACATTGCTGAATATACCCTTCGTTCAAAAGAAAGGATTTGTCACTGCTTTTCTAAGGTAACAGTGACTTGCTCCCAGAAATATAAATACTTTACATGTGGATTAACAACCCTAAATTCTTTCCTGACATTTACTTTTAGGATGAGAAGCCTGTGGAAGCTATTAGAGTGTGTTCTGAAGTTTTACAGATGGAACCTGACAATGTGAATGCTCTGAAAGATCGAGCAGAGGCCTATTTAATAGAAGAAATGTATGATGAAGGTAAATCTTCAAGGGATTTGATTTGCAGTACCTAACAGTTAATCATATGAGGGTAGCATATGTTCAGTGGCCTTTTAGAACAAATTTACCGGCATTCCTGGACATGTTGACAATTATTCTTTCTTAGGTACACTCTGAAGAGAGTTCTATTGAAACCAGTTCAGTGCACTATAAAAATAAAAATTTTAGGGTTATTTGCTGCAATCAAGTTAGGGAAGACAAGTAAATAGAAAATTTCAATTATAGATCTGATATCCAGAGGCAGTCACTGTTCATTTTGAATTTATCTTTCTAGACTTTTGTCTATAGATATATTAGTCTTTATGTATATGTGTATTCTTTGTATATACTTGGTATCTGTAATACATATATGCACAAAGCCTACATATATATGTCATATGTCTAATATAAAATGATCCTCTGTGAGCTCAACTCTTTAGTAATAATATTAGGGTATCTGCTTACCCTACTTTGTTCAAGTTGAAGTAATAAGATATTCTTGCTGGAAGTTATAAGGACTTTGAATAAAGACAGTGGCCTTTTCTGGAAGATAACTAAAGTTGGCATATAAAAAAATACACATTTAAGAAAACAGAATTATATATATTGTTTTATAACTTTGAGTGACAGTATGTTATAAATATTTAAACGAGATTTTTAAAAGAAATAAGCATTACAGACCCTTACTGCAATATTCTTTTTTTCTTCCACATTGGGTAAAGCATTTTAAATCAAAAACAGCAAATTTTTTGGCTATAGTTTTTTTTTGTTGTTTGCTTTTGTTTTTGTTTTTTGGTACTGGGGATCGAACTTGGGACCTTGAGCTTGTGAGGCAGGCAGCGGAACCACTGAGCTAAATCCCTGGCCCCTTTTTGGCTATAGTTAATGAAGGATTTGAATGGTGAAACTCGGTTTGTGATGCTCTTGGTAAAGGCATATTGGTCAGTCTTTCTGCTTCCCCCAATTTGCCATGAGTCTTGCTCCTAAGCATGTTCCAGGGAATTGTGACAGTGCAGTGACATCCAACTGTTATTTATGGGACATTCAGATCTTGATGTCTAAAGTTTGAAATGCATGGTATCACAATGGTAAGTTTTAATATCTGTTAAGGGTCAAATCTTGTAGGCTCCAGAATATAATTTGGAAGGCGCTTTTGTAACGAGTGTTAAAACTCATTTGCTTTTTAGGGAATCTTGTCAGCTTAATTCTTGAAGATGCTTAATACTAAGTTAATATAATTGATCTATTTTTGAATTCTTTTTTCCTTAATATTTAAGTAACAGTTTATTCTTTGTCTTATGGTTTTACAAGAGTAAAATTGTTGTTTTGAATGACAAATATGAAAATTAAGCCACTCCAGAGAAGGAGACAGGGAGGGCAAAGTTTAGTAAATGATGTAAATGAGCAGTGTTACTTAGCATAAATAAAAGTATGTCTTTAGTTTAAAATCTGAGTTAAAATGTGAAGGGTTTCTTTTTATCTTTTTAAAAAGCAACAGTTTTGGGGCTGGTGATTTAGCTCAGTGGCACCGCGCCTGCCTCACAAGCGAAAGGTCCTGAGTT